TTCTCTATTTCCCAATTTAAAGCGACGCAAAGCCCCACAAAGCCGGCACAGCCTTCGAAGCTCGGAGATTCGGAGCATCCTCAACTCGCCCGCCCGGAGTCGCACGATCCGCCCGGACATGCGGGTCCGCCCTCAGCAGAGTTGCTGCTATGTGCTGCCAACTGCAGGTCTCTATAGTCCTGCGCATGTCTGTCTTCTCGAAATCGACATGCCTTTGAGTGCTTTTCCTTCCCCTAGGCCCCTAGGTGCAGGACGTCCAGATTCGAAATCCTCACAGTCGGTTGCAAGCTCGTACCGACAAACCTTAGAAGCCGGCCATTTCCCACTGTCGCACACTCAGAAGCTGTTCGCGGTGCGATCTTGCGGCACAAGCAGCGGGGCAGCTGTTGGCCTCCCGCAGCCACTCGCGGATGCAGCCGGTGCAGAACAAGTGCCCGCAGAGCATCCTCTGGGCAGAGCCGTGTTCAGGTTTGGGACGCCTCATCCCTCGGCACTCAAAACTACGGCGCCTGGTTGCACGGACACCAGGCCGATAGTCCTGCATGTGACGACTCCCCATGCGGACTCAGCCACGTCTGAATTTGACCAGCCTCCAAGCAGACGGAACACTTCGAGTTGGTGGCATCCAGCAAATCTTCCTTTCGGAAAATTCAGAAGCAAGGCCACTCTGTATTGCAGCTCAATTTTCTCTCGGGGCCTTCGTCACAACGACACGAGGCAGGGCATCGCGTACTCTTTCGCTGGCAGGTGGTACTTTTGGGCCAGATTCTTCCATGCTACGCTGCATGGCGATCTGGGCCATCTGCTCCATCATCATGCGCATGATGCCACCTGAACCGCCCACACTGCACAGAATATGCCGTGCTCGCAGGAGACCCAACGTGGTGGCCTAGGGCATCTGCAGCATCCTCCTGGCTCACAGCGACGCCAAAGGCGCGGTTGCCCCTTCCCCTCAAAGCACTCTGGGAATGGCGGAATGGCATCCCTGTTTGGGTCCTCGGCGGCCACGGGCACGCGGGAGACCTGGCCACCCAGGCTCTGCAGGAGGCCCAGCGGCAAGGGGAAGCCCGGCTCCGAGCCTGCACAAGACACAGCGCGGGGGGCCGCTGGGCCGCAAAGGAGGAAAAAGGCCCCTCACAAAAAACGCGGCCCCCTGTCCCATGTCTTACTTGGGGCGTCCGGCGTCGAAGGGGGGTTCTTGGATCCGAGTAGCCGTTGGGCGTGATGGCAGCCCCGACCAAGCCACGGCCAGGCAGCGTGAGCAGCGTGATCGTGCCGCCTTCTCGAGCAGGGCCCAAGGCACCGGCACCGCCGTTCATGCCCAGAAGGGCCGCCAAGGAGAAGGGAAGATCAGCCATGGCCCCACAGGCTCGCCACTCGACGAGCTCAGCAGCTCATTCGGCGACGGAAGATGAAAGGCGAAGGCCAAAGGCCAGCGAAGCCTTCAAGGCCGAGCCGCTCGAGGATCACCTCGCCTCTGAGTTCTTCACAGACTAAATTTTGGTTCTCGTGCCGCAGAGGCAAAGGTTTAGGGAACTTATTGGGCTCCTGTTGTTCGGCTTGGACAACCATGTGCAAGCACTGAAGACTGAAGAGAAGACTTGACGAACATCCGCATTGAATTGCTGAACTCTTCCGCATGCATCTACTTTCCAGCCATCCTTGAGCCCCAGCGACGTTCATCGCTGGGCTGACGGTCAGAGTCTGCCCTGCTCCGCTCGCAATGCTCGCTCTCGCTCGCTCTCTCTCCCTCTCCCACTTGCCTCTCAGAGCTCAGGCCCAGGCTTTCCATGGAGGCGAAAGCCATGTCCGGGCTTTGCAGCCAGCTCACGCAGCTTGTATCTGCGCAGCACATCACGGCGCATCACATCCTGTCTCTTGAAGTCCTGGCCACAGCCCAGCCTGCAGATCATGAGCCGCCGTCAGAGCCATGATGGCCCAATCGTGGCTCCCCGTCTACATCTACCCGACGGCGTCACTACGGGACCAGAGCCCAGGGCCGGTGTGCGAACACGCGGTGCGAACACTAAACCTCGCGGCCCGGCCCTCATCAGCGACAGGCGCCTGCTCGCGGCGCTTCTTCTCCACCGCCATCTTCGCCTTCTGCTCCGCCTCGAGATCGGCGGAAGGCAGAGCGCGGGAAAGCCGTGACAGAACCCTGGTGTTGGAGGCCTCCTCCTGCTGCTGCCTTCGCTTCAGCTCCTTCATCTTCTCTGGAGGCTTCCAGCCTTGAATCAGCGGCAAATGGCAAGACCTTCTGACTCGCTCCGCTTCGAGAGCCAGGCCCAGGGGACGCACGTCCAGCACCACCGGTCGGCTCTTCAGGAAGTGCATCACCTGAAGGGCTCACTGTCGGCTCACAGAGTCCTGAGAGACGGCTCCCGCTCTTGTCGGTCTTGGCCCGGTGCGCGCTGCTGATTCTGCTGGACAAGGGCTAAGCCGTTTATGGCGTGGACCTGTTCCAAAGCGACGGCAGGAGTCGGCGGCCTTCTCTCGACATGAGCCGTGGGCCACAGGAGCACAGGCCTCGTAGTTGACGGGGATTCCTTTCTTGCTGGCGAAGGAATCCGGAGCAACCTGACAGAACGCTTCCCGAACTCAAGCCAGGTCATGGCGGGGCCCTGGCCGACAGGATCATAGGCGGGGAGCCACCAGAAAAGCGAACGCCGAGGGCACCCTGCACGTGAACAATTCTCGGTTGGCGGTCGGCACAGCTCGCGACTCGCGAGGCGCCTTCTCCTCCAGCGTGAACTCAAAGCGCAAGATGCCTTCCTGCAAGAACAAGCGTCATTTCACGGAACAGCTCTGAGCTTAGGAAGCCTCCAGTGGAGGCAGCGCATCGAGGTTCACCGGAGGCGGCTCAAACTCCGCCTCTCCAGCGATGAAGCACCATGGTAGAGAACAGGAAGCCGCGGCTACAAAAGAAGAAGTCTCATGAGTAATCGGGTGTGGTGCTTTTGGGAGCATAACACACCGAATCTGGAACGAATGACTGCGATGCACTCCTAAGCTTATCAGCACAGGCAGGTTGACCAGTCCGCCCGGGCAAGCACAAGGTCTTGCAATCTTGGGAATCATGGCTACTGCCATCAGCATGATGAGTCCAGAAATGGGTAGGAGAGCGCAGCTGAGGAATCTCTCACCAACAGCCCGAGTAGCCTTTCCATAGGCCCATAAGGTTTCCTCACAAGCTGCTGCTTGATTTAAGTGGCTTTCCAAAGCCACTCGGCTACTTCCTCAGTCCTATACGGTCAGGCCAATCAATGCCAAAGCGACAGCCATTTCAGTGGCATGCGAATCAGCCCTCTAGTTTCCAAACCGCTACACTAAGAGTGAGGTGGCTGCTGATTTTACTTACCTGAACGTGCTCATGTTGTGACCGTCGGACTTGGATGCGGCCCCAAAGCACCTTCCTTCCTGCAGTTCAAAGGGACAAAAGATGACAAAAGTATCATTCGTTCGAAAACGTTGGACAACAAAAAACTTTGCATCGAAAGCAATGGTTCGACCGTGCCGGCATGTTGTCGCCTACAATGCAAGTTGAAGAGCAACTGCTTCAGCCCGTGGTACAGTGGTACAGTCTGCTGCGCACAACTACCCGCAACATTGGCAACCAACCTCCCGACTTCAACAAACTCATCCTCACCACATACAACCGTGACCACAGCACCGGCACATTGTCGTTTCCGCGGATTGGAACTGAAACACGCGCCACTGACGTCAGTCGCAAGGATGACACCTGGTTCAACCTCAACCGGCCATGACTCAGCAAAAATGCCACTGCACCCCAGCAAGGGCGGTAGGCAAGTCCGTTCATGCGGGACAGCACCAAAATGCCGAAAGCACCATTGCTCCGGCTCATGCAAGTACCAATCCGGAGGTGGACGTGCCAACTCTTTCAAGACAAGCGAGCACTCCCACAACCAATGATGAAACATGTCGTCAGGGTCCTGATGGGTTTCTCCACAAGCGTATTCCTGCCTGGCATGGGCACAGGCGACCCTGATAGTCATAGTACAACGAGCGCAAGAGATCATATACTTGCACTTTGGCCAAGTAAACCGAGAAGGGACCAAACTACAACCAAACCTCCGGGCTGGCTATGCCTTCTCCGGCAGACTTGCTCCCGAAGTCCCACCAGATTGTGGAATTACAGGTTGATGCTTTTTCAGACCGTGTACTTCGGCGAGCGATGGCTCCGAAAGTGTCTTGCCGGCCCATCGCTCGTGATGCTTACAAGGTCGGAAACGTTCCAAGCGCCTTCGGAGTGGCGGCGAGCTCTACCTGGCGGCGCAAGTGGTCCTGCACTCCCAAACCACTGTCTCCCGTGCCGCTGCCTGCCCGTCTTTGGCGCCCCTTACAACACAGACACGCGATGCGTGGCAATACTGCATGCCATGCAAGACTCGCAAGATTCATTTCGCAGATTCGCCACTCTTGCTGGTCAAGGCTCTGGGTCTTATCCTCCTCCTCACTGCTGCTGCTATCGCTGCTGCTCGACTCCTTTTTTGCCTTCCGATTCCGTTGCATGTCTCGGCACGAAAGTCTGGCAAGCAGGTAAACTGCCTTTTTCTTCTTCTTGTCCTTTTTTTTCTTGTCCTTTTTCTTTTTGTCCTGCATGCAGACCCCTGCTACGCTGCTACACAGAAGACATCATCTCTTGCAGCTGGAACCTTGTCTTTCTTTTTCTTCTTCTTCTTGTCGTCGCTGTCGCTGTCTTTCCTCTTCTTGCCCATGGCACCCTCACAAGGAGATGGATCAGGAAGTGGCCACCACTCGCCCCACTGGCAGCCCAACGGGCCCTCAGACCTCTGAGTGGCCAGCCGTGAGTCGCGAGTGCTTGAGTGGTGGGGGCTCTATGCGCGAGCCAGAGGGCACGGCGACAAGAGAAGCAACACTTGCAGCTGCAGGAGCTTTCTCTTCATGTGCCTCTGCCTCTCCCAAGGCCAAACAAAAGTCGCACCCTTTAGCTATCGTGACTTGAGGCACTGTCAGCTCTGTCAGCTCCCGGTGGCGGCTTTCGCTTCCGCTTCCGCCGGCCCCGGTGCGCTGGGGTCTGCTTCTGGCGAGGACGGCGCTGCAGCTGTCGGTGCCTGTCCGACAGCTTACAGAACGCTCGAGCCGTAGCAGGCGAAAGTAAAAAAAAAAGCGAGAAGTCAGCTCTCCCTACGACCTGGCCGGGCCTCTCCGGGCTTCGGCTTGTCTAGCTGAGAACGCCGATGGAAGTAGAAAGTGCCGCCGGCCTTGATCACAAGTTTACGCACAGGCTCCATGTCTCAGACCTCTGCAGCCCGGAAGCTGCCAGTAGGATCACCAGTGCGATGCCTGCATACCTCCAGATCGTGTTTTGAAGGCATTAGCAGACTACTGTAATTGAAGAAGCTCGAGGCTTTGCACCCTTTCTCCTCTGGGTCTCTGTGCCAAGGCGCAAGGCATCGAAGCGCTCGGTTTCCTCCTCCTCCTCGGCCTCCTTGGCCTCCGCTTTCTCCTCCTCCTCTTTCTGTGCTGCCTCGCTGCTGTTCAGCGGCAAGCCTGTCTCCTTGGCCACCTCTGAAACCAAATGCAGACAGAGACAGAGACCCTACGAGAAAACACCGTCACGGTCTTGCACGCCCAGGGGCCATCTCCTCGATCCTGGCAAGGCACTGCATGCACAAGGGCCGGGGGGGCGCGCAAAAGCTGTGATCGACGAGTCGACTTTCGGAGTCTGTTCAGGCTGTCAGGAAGGACCCACTCAAAGGCCTGAAGGCCTCGCATCTCGCCCCCAGGAAACACCCCGCACTCCGATTGAAGCCCGAGGCGCTCGAAGAACTTCTTGGTTTCAGCTTCTGCCTCCTGGGAGCACAGAGTCTCAAAGATCTTTGACACAAGCCGAGAAGAGACGGACTCGGACACGCTGCGGACTCCGCTCAGAAAGGGCTCAGCCGCTCCTTCATGTTGTTGGGCCCGGCGCTGGATACAGCGACTTTCGGGAACACCGGGCCGGCGGAAGGAGTCGGAGGAGTCGCTGGAGGCGCGCGCGGAACGGCCTGGCGCTTGGGTAAGGAGAGGTCCAACTTGTGACCCAACATCCGGCCTGGACGTGGACGGGAGCGCCGTAGCTGCCATAGCTGCCGTAGCCACTGTACCCGGCACCCTGCTCTCTTGCACGCGTTCGTGTCCATAGATTCCAAGCAAGCATAGGCAGACCTATTCTTAATCTCTCTGTGTGTCTCCTTCAAGCGACCGAGAGCCAGAGAGAGCCAGAGAGAGCGAGCGAGAAAGAGAGAGAGAGAGAGAGAGAGCGAGAGCGAGAACGAGAAAGAGATACTGATATGAGCTAAAGACACACGAATCTTCTTCCACAGGCAAGCTTACGGCTCACATACATAGTGCCGAAAGTTGTATATGTCAAAAATGCAGCAGATTTCTTCAAACAAACCTCTCTCTCGCTCTCTCGCCGGTGCATAAGGAGCTGTCCAGGCCCGAGGCCAAGGCTCACCCCTGTCATCGGAGCCTTTGGGAGAAGCGTGAAATGGCAGCGCAAGTGCAGAGGAAAAGCTTCATGAAGAGCTGAATAGATGACTAGACTGGTGTACATCCGATTTAGAATGCACCAGCGTCCTACGACAGCGCGATGAGGAAATACGAGGAGCGGAGTACAGTAGTGCGCCATGTCCAGCATAAAACAACATGAGCGAACAAGCCCGTCTCACGACTGTCCGACTGCTAAAGGCATAGAGCTATTGTTGTGGCATCAACTCCCGCGTGCAAGGAATGGCATCAAGCAGACAGCGTACAGGCTTGAGGGAAAAAACAAGACACCGATAAGATAGCCCAACCACATGAGATCCCACCATTGCTTCCCGACTCCTTCAGATTCACATCAGCTGGTCGCCTCTCTCTCTCTCTCTCTCCCCCCTCTCTCTCTCTCAATGTCTCGCTCTGACTATTCCTCTATCTCTTTCATACACACACACAAAACATATTCCCACTTGTACTGTCTCAGTCAACTCACGGTTCAATAGGCAGAAAAACGTTGCTGCCTTCTTTGTCCAAGTAACAGTACAGAATAGAACAAAAGGAATGAAACACGCTCAAGAGTGGAGTAAGGAGAAAGTGTGGTTCTGCTCGGCCTGCCCCATCTGACACAGCTCCATACAAAACAGAAATGATCATGGGACCGCTATTACCGATCTCTGAGTGTGGTAATTCTCAGAGTAATCTCCTAGCACCTTGTCTGGGATTCCTCCTCCCTGCGGACATATAAGCATCTGTGCTCGTAGCCTGCATTGCACGGACGTAGTAACGTAGCATGACACACAGCACAGAGCTCTGGCCTGATAAGGCAGGTGGTTCGCAGGGCCTCCAGGAAGGGACCCAGGATTTCCGCTCCAAGGGCTCCAGCTGGGGTTGCCCTGCGAGTCGAGAGTCACTCTTTTCGTGTGCCACTTCGCGCAAATTGAAAGCTGAGAGGCGTAGGAAGGTCTCGGGAAGGTCGCCTGATGCTCGAATTGCTCGAAGTGGCATCACTCTCGCACATGAACATATGGAGCTCCACTCAGCCCCACCTGCGCACTTGGCCGCCACTCGGCCTCCTCTCGCATCGAAGCCTGCTTTTCAGAAAGCAAGACTGGATCCTTACACCAGAGACTCACAACTGGGGTGTTCTAGGTGGCCTCGGATCGCATCCATCGGGACTCGGGATGTCCCGTGTGAGATACTTCCGTCGAGATCTGTGCAGCGTGTGCCGGCAGCACCAGGAGAAGCAGCGCGTGCTTCATGGCTGCCTGATATGAAGAGCCTGAAATACTTGACAAACCGGAGACCGTGCCAGAGCTCGAGCCAGCACGGAGCTTCAGAGGGCCGATGTTCGCCCAAGAAACCAACACATCCACACAGAGTGTACTGCTCAGACTGAGCTTTCTCGAAGTGGGACACCCCAGCGGAGGTCTTAAGCATTTTGCTTCCGAGCTCGAGACGCTCGCGAGTGGGCTGAGAGCCCGAAGCAATGCTTCATGCAAAGGTGGAAAATCGAAGCGAATTCTGCACACTCTGAGCAACCATGGGGGGCATCTGTGCACCGGCATGCCAACGGCTCCCTCTCCCGGTCCTCTGCCTTTCGCGCCTGTTCGCAGCTACGTGTTCCAGCAGCGCGAGCAGCGCCCTTGGCAGCTCTCGTGCTCCTGGAGGCAGTCGTAGTTCCTGAGCCACCAGAGGCACTCACTGCGCTTCGGCCACTCTCAAGGGCCGCTTCGGCAAAGGCGCTTTCCGAGCAGCGTTGGGTTGGACTTGATGGCCTGGCACTTCGGCACTTCTATGAAAGGTCGCAGCGCAGGCTAACGACGTCCTCGCCTTGTTGTAGGTGTCCTCGCTCTTCAGGTAGCTGGGCGCTGTGCTTCTTCCCTCCTCTAAATCCTCAACGCTGAGGCCTGGGGAATGGGATGCCATGCCATTGTACGTTGTGTCACACTGTGGGGACCCTACCCAGGACTTCCGGGAAGCGCCGCACCTCGGACCAGGGGCGCAGCGTCTCAGGCGCCGTGCTCTCAAAGCCATCGAGGCAGCGGCCCAAGCTTTCTGCGCCAGGCCCTTGTCCTGCAACCAGCGCGCCTGAAGCCAAGCGTCTCTCTACCTGCCTGTGGGGCACTGAACACAACAGAACATCTCTGATCATATCTAGGGTGAAAGGCAGCACACTATGCTGCTGCTGTAGCACTGTAGCATCAACACTCAACCACGACCGAGTTTAAAATGAGTTTGACACGCGATCGATGACACTCTGGGCCACCGGGCTTAGAAGCCGGTTCCAGCACTCTTCACGGCCATTGCTTCCGCTGTTCAACCGGAACATGTCGGAGAAAACAGGCAGACAACCACGTGCGAGGCGGCTCGACTATTACAGACTATATATATATATGAATAAATCTATACAGTGAACAACTGCGCACCGCAAGTCGCCTACTTCCCATTCGGAGCTATGAATTAGGAACTGTTCGATATATTGTAGGCCAGGAGTTGGGTTCGGCATGCGGAAACCGCCGCTGGACGCCCGCACAGATGGAAGGAGTTCTGAGAGCAAGCCCGAGGAATTATGAGCCTTGTCACCTTCGTCTTGCTACCGAGTTGCAGTCCTCCGAACCGCCTCCGGCTCCGGTGGCATCGGACTGCGCAGCTTCCGCCAGAAACGTCGGCTCTTGGCCGTCCAGGCATAGCCTGCACGGCTTCTTCGATTTTTACGAGTAGGTGGTTGTTCAAGATAGCGATTTTCTGGGAACGGCCAGATGTGCGAAACATTTGCTTTCCTTTCGCGGCTGCTTTAGCGGAGCTTTCGCGGAGATTATGTACGGCCGTATGTATTTTTACATACACACACATACAACACATATTATACAAATATACAGAACATAGATACATGAAGCATACATACGTACAGGCTTGAAGCCAAGCCATTGTTTCCATCGCTATGGTATCTACGAGCTACGGGCAGCCTCCTGCATCCATTCTAGGCGCCTCATGAGGTCTGAGAGAGCTCATGCAATGCTGTAGTAGCCCTCAACACACACTTGAGCTTTCGCGGAGTCTTTCGCGCAATCTATTGCAAGAATCCCCAATCCTGAGCTCGATCTGAAGGGCTGGGGGCTCAAACGATGCAAGGGTGCAGGAACTCATTCTCTGTAGGGTGTAAGGTTCACGGCTCACAAAGTGTCATGGACACAGCTAGAAAAGCGATAGGCTTTAGGGCTCGAGTGCTTCTTTGAAGATGCTAGGCTAGGGCAGAACATAACTGAATCCTGGAGTATCATATCGCATGTTCATATAACTTACGTGCAAAACTGTTTTCCTTTTCGCGCCTGCTTTTGCGGATGCTTCGCGGACTCTTTAAACCCTATCACATTGCCGATTTTGTAGAAACCGTGACACGGACCTTTAAAACAACCCTCGACTTGGGTTGCCCGTCAAAGCAGCACAGTCATCCTCGCACCTGCTTGGAGCCAATCCAAAGCATCTTCCTTGGTGCTATCTTCGACGATGTCCAAGACGACTTGAGCGCTCTCCTCCCAAGCGGGGGAGGCAAGCTCGGGCTCTGCCGCCGCGTGCCGGGCTTGGTAGGCCACCCGTGACCGGCCACCATGTGCGGTGCCCCACGCTGAGACAAAGCAGCCTTTCAATTCTTGCTTCTATGAGTTGGCAGATGTTGGGAAGTAACACAGTACCGACAGTACCCAGCCCAGTAGCACAGCGGCAGGGACAGCACCAGCAAGGCGAGGCCGCGGGAACGACGGAGCGGAGCAAACGATGCCATGAAGGATCCAGGAAACTGCGGACTTTTCTGGGGCTGACAGGACTCTCTGATGTGCGCTGAGTTGCTCGAGTGGCTCGCAGGACTTCACGAAAGCATCCTATGCTTAACTGGCTTAGCTCGCTGGGAAATCAAGATCAGCCAGAGCAAACAGGGTACCGTGTGGGCCGGTGCGCTCCAAACAAGGCAAGGATCTTCGCCCTGAAGCTGCTATGCGGTGACGGTGCTTGCATTCCATTCCTTTGCAATCTTGGCTTTGACTCCTTTGGCTGCTCTTATCAACAGATGGCAGGCGCGCAGGATGCCTGGGCGCAAATCGTGAGAAGGTGGGCAAGCCTACAGTCTCAACTCGAGCTGAGGTGACAGCGATCTTCGGCCACAACTCCGCACACTCTTTGGCCACTGGGCCTTGTTCTGCCATGTTCCCGCTCATCACGGCACAAGCACACTGTGTACAGCTTACAGAGTCTACAGCAGCTTGCCCTTGGTGCTCAACCATCAACGACCCTCAAAGGAAACTCGAAGTGACTTGCATGGGGCACAGGCCCTGGATGGCCGAACCCTTCATCTCGCCCTTGTCGTTGACCTGAACAACGAATCGCAAGTAAAGCGCTTCCTGCTGCCCTTTCAAGAGATCCCTTTAGAGGTTCTGGCGATCACGCCGGCATTGTCCTCGAAGTAGACCTCACGTTCAGTGTCAAGACTCGACCTTTGAGCAGGCTCCGCCGTCGAGGACCAGGCGTAGACGCCCTCGCGGCGCCTCCAGGCTTTCTTCTGGCGGATCCTGAGCTCAGGCTCCCCGAGTCCGCTGTTGATCGTGCCAAGACTGCTACAGACCCTGCTGCGTTGCGAGGCACACCACGCCCTTCAGCACCTTCTTCCGGAGCTCAGGCTTGCCTGGAACAGAGCACATCGCTCGCCAGACTCTCGCCAAAAGAGACCGCGCGCCTTTCTTTACACTGCAGAGGACGAGGTCACCGGGAGAGCAGTTCGGAAGCTTGTTGAGTCGGCCTCCGATCCCGATCCTCGATCCAAGCAAGCTACATTTTGTCTCGAAGGCCGAAATGCAAAGCATCAGCCCCAACGGTTGTGGCCACGGGTCACCGCAATGATGTAGAGGTTCTTAGCCTGGGAGATACACCCTGAAGGCACCGTGATGCGACTGCATGTTCGGAGCTGAGCTTTGGCGGACGGCTACTCAAACGGGTGCTACAGGACTTCTGGGCCTGTCAATCGGTTCTGGTCCTTAAACGACACAACATAGCCCCAGCAAAAGAAACACGCATACGCAAGGAAGGCAACCTGGGAGAAGGCAATCAGCACCAGATCCAAATCCGAAACAAACCACTCGGGAGCTGTTTTGCAATTTTATGTGAAGCTGGTGCAATCCCACTATTCCGAGTCCGAGATCTGGCGGAGCCCGTCGGGCCATCGACGATCCAGTGGTGCAAAACAGCCAGCTGGTGCTGCTATTTGCGAGTGCACAGACATGACAGCGTAGTGGTCCACAAAGGCGAAGATCTTTAAGGGTCGGACCCCGCTGTTGTCTGCGCAATTCAGCAAGGTGGCCACCTGGCAACCCTGTGCCATGCGCATCTTGCCTTAAACATCAACGAGAAATCGCTGCGACGTAGAACGGCATCTGCTTCTAGGCAGCAACTCAGCCGAAGGCATTGCTTCGCCGCACGCCCTTTCTTCATCTTTCGCAGCTACCGGGACGTGGGCCGCTGAGTGTCCGAGCCAAGCTGCCAGAATCGTGCAAAAGCCATATGGGTGTCACGTGGCTCACCAGGCCCAAGTTGCACAACTTCGGCATATCCTCATATTTCCCACATCATCATCATCATCATCATCATCATCATCGTCATCATCATCATCATCATCATCATCATCATCATCATCATCATCATCATCATCTCTCTCTCTCTCTCTTTCACTCTCGCTCTTTCGTCCTGAGACGGTGTGAGAGCTGCCAGGCTCGTGAAATGCGCAGAGCTCGCTGCAGGCCCGGCCCCAGCTCGGGCTGTAGGCTGTCAGCGATGGCGACGTTGTGCAGCAGGGCCAAGGCCCAGTCCCAGCGGCGGGCTTTGGCGAGCCCCTCGGCGGCCGCGCGGTATTGGTTCCAGTGGGCCTCCAAAGACTTGCGCAGGGCCTCCTGCAACAGCTCCAGGCACACGGCCCACGCGGAGCGCCCGGTGAGAGCGCTCCGCGTCGTGGCCTGGAGCATGAAGGGATTCCGCCGCAAGCTTTGCCTCGAGGCCTCCTGCAGCAGCTTGGCCGCCCAAAGCCAACCCCTGGAGGCCATAGGGCCGCCAGCAGCGCCGGCGCCACTCTTCTCGGGCAGGAGGCTGAAGAGGGCGGCGTCGTACATCCCCACGTGGCACTGAAGGCGCCGCAGCCGGACCTCCCCCAAAAGCCTGAGCACCGCAAGCCACTGCCGTGGCCAGGAGCAGGCCCGGATCGTCAAAATGAAAGCCAGGGATTGGCTTTGCAAATATCGGCTCTTCCGCATCCCTATGCGTTCCTTGTGGCTCAGTGTGTTAAGCAAGCGGAGTGACAGTGTCCAAGCAGCTCCCGAGACGCAGACCCGCAGCGCTTCGCAACAGACGTAGGCATCAGCTCTTCCGAAACGGGGAAAGTGCTGAACAAAGATCCCCAAAGCCCTTTGCCAGGTCGCCTCCAGCTGAAAACCATCACAGAGGGAGCGCATGCCGGCGACGGAGGCCAGCGCATCCTTCGGAGGCTTCTGTGAAAGATGCTGAAGTGGGTCACGCCAAGACCTCCAGCGCAAGCTGCCCTGTGCCCACCCGTAGATGTGGATGCCGTGCACGCCGGGCACGCCTCGCACCTGCGCTGACTGCACCAGCGCCAGCGACAGCACCCACGGCCCGGAGTGCGTGAGGCAAGCAAAGCCTCGGATCAACCTTCACTGCATAGAGAACAATGCAGGCGAACCTTGCAATGCAAGAAACCCAGTTGAAAGCAGAAGTCGTCGTGGCAAGCAGAAGGAAATTGCAACCGGTCTGGAACGGACGAAATATCCCCCTGGTTCACGATATTCCAGGATTCCAAACATCCCCTGTAACTTGAGGAGACCAGGAGGGGAAACAAAGCTGGCGAGGCGGGCTCCAGGCATTCTCACGTGCCAGAACCGCATCAGCGTGGGGGGAAACGAAACAGAGATGGCATCATCACCTCCGGCACATCCCACCACATCAACAGCTCAGCAGGGGGGAGTGTCTGGGCCGGCGATCGCGGCCACTGCTTACGCAAATAGGAATCGAAAGCCTCGCTACGCTAGCTTTCGTGACCATCCCCTACAGCGGAATGAGGGATAGATGATGGGTTGGGTTCGGGCTAGTCCCTTGCGAGCTCTGATGCCTTCCGAACGGTTTGCTCCTCTGTCTCAGCTGGTGCAGTCCCTTTCGAGCCGTTTGCGCTCTATTTCTCCTCGAACCCTTCTCGAGCGGTTGCGCGTCTTTCTCAAACGCTGTCTAGCTTGTTTCGAGCACGGTTGGCTCCCGCTTGTTCAATCACTTCTCCTGTTCCTTTCACCGCTCTACTCCCCTCTAATTCTGATTCTCAACTCTCTTTCGATCGGTGTGGATGCGTGTCCATGTCAAATTTCCCGAAGGCTTGCGCCTCCTTCTCAATTTTTTCTCTAGTCCCTTGCGAGCGGTTTGTTGAACTTCTCGTGTCTTTCGAGCGGTTTCACCCTTCCAACAACGTTCAGGCAGTTTCCTCCTCTGCCTCAATGTGTCGATTCTTCCCCATACTTTTGGACTGGTTCCTCCTGCTTTCCAACGTTTTCGCTTTGAGCGGTTGCCTCCGCACTGTTCGGCCTTTCTGGATCTCGGTCGAATCTCAAGTTGTCTAGTCTGCTTCGTACATGTTGTTCCTCATTGTCCCAAACAAATTCCAACGGACCGTCTCGGGCGGCACGTTTCTGATCCTCGAGTTCGTCCGTCTTTGGCTTACTCCTCTTTCTGCAAAAAAATGCCGCCGAAGGCGCTCTTCACCGTCGGGCGCAACCAAGTGCTTTCGAAGATCCCAAGCAGGGTGAGGGCCTGAAGAAAATCACACAGCAGAGGCGCAGCTCACACTGCGCGTCCCATTGGTTAATCTCGCTCGCTCGAGAGCACCGAAAACTCCTGCCTCTCTCCAGTTGGAGTCCATTGCACGGCTCGTGGGCAAAACCACTTCGCCTCTGCTGACAGGAGGAAGGCAACTCGAGCTGAAAGGGAGGCCCTATCGGCTTTGGAACACCGGGCCTCTTAGGCGGAGCAGGCGCAAGTCTGTCAGCAGCCCCAGGCCGAGGCGCCAGCGAGACTCGAAGCAGGTGCTGCAGAGCTGCCGAAGCGGCCGCCGCAGAATGGCAATGGAATCCTCATCCGCCGCCACGGCGGCCGCGGCTTTGGCCAGGTGGATCGCCACGGCGAGCCGGCCAGCTTCAGCGATGTTTTGGGCCAGCGCCACCTGGAAGCTGGCCGAGAGCCGAAGGTGCCGGCCGTTCAGGAAGCCCAGTGGCGCCTGCCACCTTCCACGGGCGAGCGCTCGCAGCCCCACTGCTTCAGGCAGCTTCGGAGCTCTCGCCGCTGTGCTGCCCATTGTGCCCATGCTCTCTAGGTAAAGGAGGACGACCAGCCACGGGCTGCTAGCCAATGCCTTTGACATCCACACTTCGCAGGGCTCCAAGCGCCGACCTACGTGGTAAGCCCAGAGAATGCCAGCCCAGTGAACGTTCGCTGGCCCCTTGGCCCGACGCCAGCGCAAATCTCTCAAGTCCGCCTCTCTGCCCTCGCTGCGCTCGTAGGGCTGCGCCCATCCTGCGCTGAGGTCTGAAGTTCTCGCTGAAGGGTTTGGAGCTCCCAGCGGTTGCCACCGCCACCGCGGTTCCATACGGACGCAGATGCGAACACATCACGCAAGACGGAAACAGGCTTAGGGCCGGGCTTAAGGGGGGCACTCAGCAATCGGCTGCGAGTATCCATCAGTGGCAAAGCGATTAAGGCAAAATACTTGCTATCCACGCACTTGCAAGAGCAGCTTGAAGGAGAAATGTATAGGACCTTGCGACATGCCGGCTCTTGATGCGGTGCTTTCGGCAGTCCTTCGATCCCGGCCTGGAGCTGCTGCAGCCGCTGCTCGCTCTCTTTTTGGAGACGCGTCCGCTCGCGTGCCTGAAAACTGCGACCTGGCAGATCGGGACCCAATCGAGATCGAAAAGAGTGCCAAGTCCTCCGCTGGCTTTACGGTTTTAAGCTGCGCCGTCCTGCACTTGGCCAAGCAGCTATTCTGAGTTCTGAAGTCTTAATAAGCTCTTCTGAATTCCTTTCCGAAGCGAGCAAAGGACCTGAGCCGCCTACCTGGACCTACACAGCTCTTCCTGGTGAAGAGCCAAAGTTAAAAGCATTTCAGCCGACCGGCTCAGTCCGGTGACATCATGTCGTTGCCTGGCCTGAGATGTAACAAGGCAGCCGTGGCAGCCGCCTGAGAACTGAGGCCCCCGGCTTGGAAGCTGGATCCGCGCCCGCTGCGCCCGCCTCAGCCGCGCCACACCCAGCAAAAAGATAAAAGACAAAACGACAGAAAGACAGCGAGAAAGAGAGAGAGAGCATGTTATGTTGTACTTATGTGCAAGCCCGGAGACCTTCTTGGAAAGGTACACGGCCATCTCTCTCTCAGCCCCTGTCGGTCAGGAGTCTTGCAGCCATGCAGGCGACTGAAGGGTCGAGCTTTTGAGTTTTGTCGGCGTAAAACTGGCGGCATCTGCACGATTCTGGCACGGAGCAGCGAAATCGGGGCGACGTGAATCCTGGTGGTCATAGTGCGGAGGTGTGTGATCTTCGTGGCAGACAGGCCCGGCAATGAAAAACTTTTGCCTCGCATGTCTTCATAAGTGTTGGGGATGGCGGACCTCCTAATAAAGGATTGGGCAAACGAATCTGCAACAAAGAAGGAATGCAGCCACCCCGGATCATTCAACGTCCCCGAAGGTATCAAATACTGCTTTCGGGGAGCATTTGGCTTGGAATGCGCCCGAAGAGGAGCTTCAATTAACCATGACAACAGTGCAATTAGCGCTATCAGGGAGACAGTAGGGGTCACCCAAGGGTATTGGGCCGGGACCAACTACGACTAGGTCACTTAACTTGTATCGAAGCTGTCTCCGCAGAGTTGATGTTTAGGGATTCTACCAGCATCCGAAACCCTGCGATTGCAAGAGCGAGTGATATGAGCTGAGTGGGCTAAACGAACTGCAGCCAGGCACAGCCCGGGAACAGGCTGCAGCAAGCGCAGGAAGGGTGTAGAATGAAGCAATGGGAAGATTTCGGGGAGGGCGGTGGGGGGCGAGGAGATTGGGAAAAAAGGCAAAGCAACACGCGGTTTCGTGCCTGGGATGACGTATGATGACGTAGAACTTTAGGCATGTCATTAGGCTTCGCAGACCTTCCAGGAGCTCCAGCAGATCAGCATTTGGATGACCTGACCAGGAGCTCAACAGACTTCAATGCTAACCTAGCAGATTCCCAGCGCCTGACTCCTTGGCGATGTCGAGTGGCGTCTTTCCATCCTCACTCAAAGTTCGTTCAAGATGAGTCAAGAAAGGCTCCAAAGCAGCGCTCCTGGTTCTTGATCCTCACAGACCTACAAAGGCTCAAAAGACGACTTTGTTGGTGGACTTGGCAGTCTTTGGCATCTGTGTCCCCGGCCGCTCGCCCCCATTTTCAACGATCAGCCAAGCCTCTCAGCTCTGGGCCCCTGGGCCATTGCCGAAGACCTGGACCTTACCTTGCTGAGCCTTGCTGTCTTGGGTTCCGGGCGACGTCTTTGGCGCCGCTGATGGCCGCTTCGTGCAGCGCCGTGTTGCCACGAAGATTCTGCCTTCCAGTCGTGCGAAGCACGCGATCCGCGAGGCGGACGCCCTGGCGAGGCCCCGCACTGATCTCGCTCGGCTCCACCCCAAAGCAGCATTGAGGCCACCAGGCGCTTGTCGTGGATGCCGGCCTCCAAGCTGCCAAGCGTCGGCTTCGGCTTCGGGGGCACGGAGGGTTTGAGACTTTGAGAGCGCTGCAAGGATCAAAGGCGTGTTGCCATGGGCATCCACAACATTCACATCCGCGCTGCACTCCACCAACCTCAGTGAGAGGCGTGCTGTGACGAATCGCAGTCTAAGCCTCTGGGCCTCCGCGCAAACTCCCCGCAGCAGCCTCCCCAGCCTTAGCCGCGCAGTGCAGGGCCGTGTTCCCCAGGGCATCCTGGCAGAGCATCGAAAACGGAACGGCAAAACTCCAAGTTAAATTCGGTTCGTGCACTCTTTTCCTCCGTGTTGCAGCCGCGCGAGAGTTCTAAGAGCTTTGCGGCAGGTCTCCACAAGATGTGGAACTCTGGCTTTGTCTCCCCACACGGTGACATCAACCGCGCTACGCATTGCTTCGGGTATGGATACTCACAAATGCCACGAATCCACGACCTGCCCGGGTAAATGGTCGATGCAAGGCGAGTGCGGGGAGGAGCAGATGACCCAAAACGTGCCTAAACAGGTCATTTATGCAGTCGCGCACAAGCCGCATGGCCTGCAGCACCCCAGTTTTGAATTCATCTGGCTGTTCTCCGTGGGCCTGACTGCGGGTGCCCTCCATCTAGATATATGCCTGCAGTATACAGACTGTACAGATGACTACAAAGAACCTCTCGGCAGTGTGCACCATGCTTGCTGCCGCTACTGCTTAAGCTTTGTGATTTGAAAAGAAAATCTGCAGGGACGCTGCGGCTTTGAAGCAGCGAATTAATTAGCGGGCAAGGCATCTTCAAAGCAGACTCTCATATAAAGTGTTGCATGTCACTGGCCATGTCTGACGAATCTCGGAGTTTCTTGCTTTGAAACAGATCTTGTCCCGCCCTACGCAAGATAGCGTTTAGATCTTCGCCCATCTCACGCTGTTGCAGGCGAAAGCAAGAAGTCACGTGCTGATGGAGCGAGACTGCTTGCTCCCGATCTGGCAAACACGGATGTAATTTGGGATCTCACTGGACTGTCCCCAAGGCATCGGTTGAATCGGTCCCACGTCTGAAGTTGATCTCGCCTCTGTGCCTATGCAAAGGACCCACTGCGATTTACGCGTGCTGCGCGGGCACAGGCCCCGTCACCAGGTTACCGTCATGACCGGCAGCATGCAAGCGACAAGCGAGGCAAGAATAAAGGAAAACATCGCAGGAGCAAGATGCTCTTCTTCGGGAGGGAAATACTCTGCTTCCTTCTTCTTGAAGTACTGCATCCCGATTTCCTCAGCTGCGCATCCTCGAGGCCCGAACGTCCAAAACTCTACGAGAAAATGTCCGATGTTCTCGAATCTTTTCCACAGTCTGAAGACAGTAGCATGCGTTTAAGTAGTACGCGTTTCCCCCGAGGTTCCTTCTCTGGGTCCAAAATTCTTAAGCACATGCATGAATCTCGAATCGTGTACACGGTCTGGAAAGTAGCACGCATTTCAGTAGTACTCGTTTCCCCGGCGGTTCCTTCTCTGGGTCCAAAATTCTTAAGCACATGCATGAATCTCGAATCATTTACAATATTTACACAGTCTGGAAAGCAGCACGCATTTCAGTAGTACGCGTTTCCCCCGCGGTTCCTTCTCTGGGCCCGAAATTCTTTAGCACATCTATGAATCTCGAATCAGTTACACAGCCCGAAAACAGTAACATGCGTTTTCGTAGTACGCGTTTCCCTTGCGGTTCCTTCTCTGGGTCCAAAATTCTTAAGCACATCTATGAATGACAACAGCATGCGTTTTAGTAGTACGTGTTTCCCCTGCGGTTCCTTCTCTGCGTCCGAAATTCTTAAGCACATCTATGAATCTCGAATCGTTTACACATCCTGAATACAGTAACATGCGTTGTCGTAGTACGTGCTTCCTTTGCGGTTCCTTCTCTGGGTCCAAAATTCTTAAGCACATTTATGAATGACAGCAGCATGCGTTTTAGTAGTACACGTTTCCCCTGCGGTGTCTCTCTGGGACCCCCACCATGGCAATGGAGACGTCTGGAGCACTCGCAGACACGCACTCCTCGGGGACAAAGAGACTCTACAAGTAAACTAATGGTAAACACGGTAAGCAACCAGACACCGTAGAGACTCTACAAGTAACGGTAAACACGGTAAGCAACCAGACTGCGTGTTGATCAGCACAGAAAAGTGCCGATAAACACTGTAAGCCTGCCTAATCCATACGTCCGAAACCTAACATGATTTCGCCGCGGGAGAGTCAGACGCTCGGGGAGCTGCATCAGAAGCTTATCGAAGAGACGACCCGAGTGCAAAAGCGGCAGCAGCAAGCAATAAATCACGATGGGAAGCAAGACGTCCTACCTCTGATAACCGGTGAAAAGCCGAGAATTCGACTTAGTTCTCGGTCACAAAGCAGTGTGCAGCCAAGCGGGATCCAAACAGGCAAAGCAACGGCAAAGGCGAAGCAAGGCGTTGCAGGAGATCGGATCACAGATTGTTTCCTTTGGGTTAACTACTCAGCTAGAAGACAAGGTCAAAGCAACCCTATGCACTGACGGCCTTTTGCTGGACCTCGCACAATGTGGGTCTTGAGCAGTCAAGCGCCGAGTGAAACAAAGTTGGCTTGATAGCCAATGCAAGAAAACGAATGTCCCCAAAACACAACCATTTTGTTTGCAAAAGTGCTGTACTATCTCACAAAAGCAAAAAACATCTTTGCCCCACGAAGTCCCAGGACCTGAAAAGAGTGTTTTGTTGGGACTGTACAGCGTTTTTGTTCGTTTTGTTGCAAAGATGCTGTACTGCCCCACAAAACTTTTCATTTTTGCTAAAATCAATCTGTTGGGAGGCTTCCAAAAAGACTTGGCTGAGTGACCTGCGCGGCATCTGCACGGTGCAGAATGTCTTCTAGCGAAAGTCTCGCGACCTGTTGTCTTTCTAATTTGCAAAGGGGTTCTGTTCTGCCCCCTCTCTAAGATCTGGATTCATTGTGAGATTTGTCGCCGACAGGTCCACTCGTTCGCTTGTGTTCTTGTACTGTCCCAAAAAAACTATCTTCTTGGAGGCCTGAGGGAGCTAGCCTCCAAGACAGGAAAAGATTTGCGTTTTTTGGCTTGTTTGGGGGGACAGTACAGCACTTTTGCACAAATAAGATTGGATTTTTGTGGTACATGCTGCTTCTTGTCCTTAGGTTTCGCATTTTAATTAAAGTTTGCGAAAGCCTCCCAAATCCCTATACCTATACCCTAACCCACGGCCCTAGCAGACAAACGAGGGAGGGAGTGCAAAAGTTCAGTGAACAATTCTACCAGTGGGAGCAACCTACAGCGAGATCAATCACTTTCCCAGTCACACACTCACGAGCAATCCTTTGTGCAACCAAGCAGTCGTCCAGTCTTGAGCCAATGCCATTCGGCATCGTTGCATTCACAAATGCATCTTGAACATTAGGGGTGCATTGGGCTCGTGTCATCTAACAGTAACAGAGAGAGAGAGAGAGAGAGAGAGAGAGAGAGAG